ATCATTGGATTCTGACAAATAAAGTTTTGATAAGAAACAACGTGCGAATTTTTAATCTTTAACACCCAAAAAAGGTACGAAAAGCAGAAAAATTTTGGCAACTTTTTGAAAAAAATAGCAATTTTTTGGCAACTTTTAGACACTTTTATCGGCAACTTTTTTGGGAATCATCGGCAAATTGTGGCTAGGCCTAGTTACAGTACATTACATGCTCAAGTTAAATTTTCCATATTCTAATGAACATGCCAAGTAAAAGTTTAATTACCAAATGCAAATTGTTATTAAACATTTCTGTTTATGCGAATTGTAACAATTACTTGAAATTTAATTTGTTAATCATGTATTTCATTGGAATTTAAATAGGAAATTCCTCCATTCTTGACTAAGGAGATGCTGGACACGGATGAAAGGTATCAAAATTTTCCCTGAAAATGTATTCCTTTATTAAATTTTATTATTTCCTCATTTATATCATTGATATCACATCATTATGAGGGTCCCTTTAATTTTTGTGTGGGATGCCAGTGGCGGACCTGGAGCTAAGGGGGGGGGGGGGGCTATTTTTTTGGGGGTGTGTGTACACCTACCGGCTTTTCTTCCTTCTGCGTTCAGTTTTTAACCAAAATAACTGGGAGGTGCCAGGCTCCCCAGGCCCCTCCCATGGATCCGCCACGAGAACAATATTAATGTTAGTCTACTAGGATCGTCACAAGTCTTTCTGCGGGCGGAGAAACGCGCTACTTGCACGCTACCACGCAAGTGATGTGGAGGTTCTGAGCACCCGTTCCCTGATTTCACCCTTTTGAAATATCATTTTGTATCTGAATTATAAACAAGAGCTCAACAGTAAATAAGGATAAACAAAACTGAACAAATTCAAAAATGTGATCGGGAATGAAATTTAAGAATTGGACTGTATTCTGAGACATCTTCAACTATTCCAGATCACTGAGTATTGTGGTAGATGTCAGCTGTGACCCAAACAGTCCTAACAACCCGCTACCTTTCTACGATGCGTGCACATCATTTAAGCAGCCGTCTGTTAGAGTCAGTCTCCCGTAAGTACATTAAGATTGCACGAAAAAGAGTTGATGTAGTTTGTCTTATAGGGAGTGCATTTGAAATGTTGTTCACCTTCTGTAACAGTAGTGTAAGGACATTTAACCTCTTTGAAATCATTATTTTCATTGGACTAGTGCTAATATAGTAAACAACCATATTGTGACTCGAGGCTTGAAGCCACGGTCGATTTCATTATCCTCTATTTAATATAAAGAACAGTGATGGACTTAATTTCAAGAGAGAGAAAGGAACCATATTTTAAAAAAAAGCAGACTTTCATCTTTCTGTTTCTTTCTTGAAATAATGAAGAGTGACCCTTACAACCGTACGATACAATCATCCTTTTGAGTCCAGGTGTGCTATTTGACAAGCTTCTCCTCAAAAAAAAAAAAGAAGAAAAATGGAGACTTCAGGGAGTCTTATTGATGACGTGTATTTGATAATGCCCGCCAAAGCTTTTAAGCCTAGTTTTAGTTGCAACATTCACTTGACGTGTTGGGTATCCCTCGCATAGCGCTTTTCAGTGCTTTTCCAAAAGCAAAAACCGTAGCATTCACAGCCGCCACTCAGTACAAAGGTAAATATTACGAAGAAATCCTGAACCGGATTCAAATGGATTACCCGGATGATCCAGGATTACTTTCGGAATTGCACCAGGTTACTATACTACGTTCTGTGATTGGTTTATAGATCTTGCGCCACAATGACAACCAATCAGAGGAAAAACTAAAAACCAATCGCGACTTTGGTCACTCGCATTTCCCGCGCTTTAGGCAGGCTAAGATCTCTTTGTTCTGATTTGCTAATGTGTTTATCTCCATCTCTATTATGTGGCGCCGATATCAGTCAAAGCAAATACCTATAAGTGGCATCATTTATAAAGCGCGCCAAAACGCGAGTGACTTAAGTCATGATTGGCTGAAGTGTTACACATGATTGGAGGAGAAGATGGCTTAAGTTTTCTCGACCAATCACAGAACGAAGCATAGAAAAAATTAAGTCATCCAAGACTGGATTGATTTTTCTTTACTCTGCCCCGTGATAAGTCGAAAAAAAACTTGCGCTTCACTCTCAACCGATCGCTTTCACAGCCATTACCAGTCGCTACTCGATCACTCGTGCCCCTGCCGCTTCGAGCGCTGATTAAGTCTGCTTGTCTCTACTGTTAATTCTTATCGGCTCCTCGTGATAGCAACCTTGCTTCTTATAAGGTCCTGTGCTAACTTTGACTTTGATTTTACCACACTTACATGTAATTGAGACGAGCTATAATAATCGTTTTTATGCTTGATTTTGGGGCAAAAGTTGTTGGCAAGAATTTTGTTGACCAAGTGTTATGTGAGTGAAACACCCACCTGCAGACTCACAAAGGTTATCTTGATCCACCACAGCAAAGAACTTATAAGGTTGGACGTTAAATTAAACATAGGGTTTTTATTATATTTTCAGCGAAGCATAATTTGCAGTTCCCTTGAAACCCACAGACTCTATTTAGCAGAATAGATTTTAATTTTTTCTGTTACATGTGTCTGCCTTAACTTAGCGAGTACGTAATTGCATTACAGGAAGTCGTCTAAGCCATTAGATGTTGTTGCCATTGACCATTTACCATCCCTTCTACCGAGAGAGAGCAGCACAAGATTTGCAAATGATTCGACGCCGCATTTGCTCAAGTTAGATCAGGTAAAACGGGTCGATATGCGTCCGTTCTATTATTGGGACCATCATCAAGTCATTCCAATGGTTTCCTCTTTTTTTTTATTTATCGAATCTGTTTTTTTATTTATTAGAGTTATAATTGATATCAATTATAACTCTGATAAATAATCATAACATTTCCATAACAATCATAATCCTCATTTCCAAGACAGTCGATCTCTTTTTTTTTTAAATTGCTACTAACGTAGTGCAAAGAGGACCGCACTCCTTCAGGTGAATTCGTATGACTTTCACCGTAGAGACACAAGATGTTTTCCAATTTTATAGGAAAGGTATGCTCCAAAAGCCGTGTAATTTAGATCTCCTCCATTAAAAAGTACATCGAAAAATTTACCTCTCACCACGTTTGAGTTTTCAAAGAGCAACCTAACCTTTTTCAAAATGTGCAAAACATTCGATTTCGTAAGCCGCCATTTAGAAAACAACTTTGTAAGGAGGCTCGAAAACGTATCAGTTAAGTTCTTGAATTAAACTCAAGTTAACAATAGTTTCACTCCTACTTTTTAGTGGTGGAGCTGAAAATTTCCACTTGTTCAAAGGTTGGATAAAGCTGTCCAACCGATACATCGCTACCCCGTGGATAATTGTCAATGAAATGTACTGCACTATCCACCCAATAGAGATTTATCTAAAGGGAGAGCATGATCCACCTTTTGAACAACAGGGGTATTGGGGATAGGGGGTTTGCCCAGTAAATGTGTGTGTGTGTGTGTTTTTTTTTTTTAACCTTATAATGTCTAAGAGTGATTAACTTCTAATTTCTCTTTACTGTACCAGCCTTGAATAAAAAATTGAGGTCGGTAGGATAAAGGAAATGATCAACAATTTAACAACCTCCTGATTTTCAAACAGATTCTCCTTGTCAGCACTATAGGAATTGTAAAGAGAACAGTTGGGAGAATATGAATGCTGACGTTAGGGTGCGTGGAAAGGGTTAACCCGGTTTATTCTTGTGATGCCAGAAAAGAACTAAATCATCAGTTGTTTATCTATTAATAGGTTGATAGCTACTGTGTGTGGGTGAATGCTAAAAACATGTTTGACCTGAAAGCAGCTGAAGCAGAGGATTCCCTCTCACGATCTGGAAACAAAGGCTGAAGTTGATTCCAATAGATTTGAATGGAAATCGGCTGTAGTTTAGTCGTAGCTTAGTGAGATGAATGAGCATGATTTGTTTACTTGTAAACGGAACAATGATTAAGAATGAAACATAGCAAAAATTTTGTTGAACTTCTTGTAAAAGGAATAGAAGAAAGTGATCGTTATCGAAAAAACAAATAGAAACCGAAACTGATTTATCCAAAAGTAAGTGTTGACACAATTAAAGTAAGGTACAATGAGAACATCAGTTTGTAGAATCTTTGCTGACTCTCAACTAACCAGTTTCAAAACTAAAACCAGTCGCAATGTAAGGCCCTTTCTATTAGACTAGAAAGACCAGGGAGAATTTTCCAGGAAGAAAAAATATGTTCTCAATCATGGAGGAACAGGACGAGCGTGCCCTTTCTAAAGTGAATTAATTCTCCTTAAACCTAGTCGTCACAACTTGCAATAACATTTTAAACTTGCAGCAAAATAGTTGCTGCTGGGGGAAAAATGTGAGGCTAAACGTGTGGGAGTTCGCAGGTGATACTGTTGGTTACCCGTCTTTTCCCGCTCTTTACACAGTTGGCTGTTTTTATTTTGCATTTCATTGGCTCCCTTTGATACTTCTTACCCTCTGATTGGCTGTTTGCCACTGATTGACGTATGCCACTCGGATGAGACCAAAGGCTAAAACAGCTTCTCATGGCTGCTAACTCTATGATCGTGAGGTTTTCCGTTTCTTCAGAGACTTGCAGCTGCTGGCCTTTTTCTTTTCTGTCTCCTTGTTTTTGTTTTTGTTTTTGTTTTCTTTTTTTTGTCGAGGTAATAGATCACTTTCATAAATGGCTCCCGGATTAATATTCTTTTATTTAAATTTAAATTAGCCTTTCTGGCCTCGTTCTCTAGTACAAAGTTTAAAAGAATACATTATCTCAAGCGAGGCCAAAAAGACTAATTTAAATTTAAACAAAAGAATATTAATCTGGCAGCCATTTTTGAAAGTGGTCAATGCGGACCAGGTGTCACTACTATTTTTCCTGAAGATGCACCATGGAAAATTTCTGGGCGCTCTTCATGTAAAGTGATTTTGTTGAAGTTCTACGGCGCGGTTTTTCGAACTAGATTAACTTTGGAAAACATGGTGGAGCACGAAGACGTACAACTAGACTAAACGGGTGAATACAGAATTTCCAGCGTTGTTTGACATAAGAAAGAGTGCGTAATCGCTGGAACCTGGGTCGGAAAAGCGCCAAAATTTACATCCCATCATTCCTCGGCAGTTGCAGTGTTTGCTCACATGACGGCTTTGTGTGTTGCGTCACTGTAGTTGTGTTTGTTGAATGTTTATGGATTTTTGGGAAGTTACTTCCCATGTGGTGGGAAATTTTTATGTTTCGTCAATGTGTGGAAGTCACCACTAGTGTCCTAATTCGGTCCTTGCCTCACTTTATCAATTCATGATGGTTGTTCACCTGTGGTTGCGATCAGAACCGAAAGCGAATGAACGCCGATCGGCGCTCTCGCCTGAGAGATGTAAAGATCTTTTGTCAGCAGGTACAAAGTCACGTTCTTTATGTTTTTAATATAGAAATGGGTAAGATTTCCGTATAACCCCATACTTCATTATGCATACAATTCTTGGCTAAAAGAAAGCAGAGGCAAAACAACAGATTACCTTTGGGATAATTGACCGCTTTGTTTTTGATTGGTGGTTTTTACCTGATTGGTATGGGGTTATACGGAAATCTTTCCCAGCAGATGTCTAAAAAAACAAACTTTTTTACAGTTTTCCTGGATAAAATTGTGAACTTATGTAATTCTCTCCCATGTTGAAGTCTGTAAAATGTGCTCTCTTTTTTTAGGATTTAAAGTTACTGTGGAATGTTCCAGAGACAGGGTTTTTAAAGATGAAGAGTTTGCGAGGTAAGTAAGGACTTGCAAATTTTTTAAATCGGCCGCACCAATGCCGTTTTCTCACAAATGATAATTTATTGTGAATGCATAAAACAGCACCCCTCTAGTGCCCCCTTAAGTCTACAAAATATCAGTGCAAACGATGGATTTTGATTGGTTCATTGATCCCTTCACACCAGAGGAAGTTTGGAGTCAAAATTCTGCTTTGTAGTGTAGGTGGGGAGAAAGTGTTCTTGGGCGAGCCCATCACATGGCATGGACAGCGAGGGGTGGTTCAGGTGTTAATGGGTTAAATGCTATAAACAAAGGATGAATTAACAATGCTAGCTACTGTTAACACCAACAACACAGTGATGATTTGTTGTTTACAGGATCAGTGGAGTGGATATGGTTCCTGAAGGATCCTGGGTAGATGCTCCAAAAGAGGCTTTTATCCTAGGAATTAAGGAGTTGGCAAAATCCTTGGCTCCAATACCTCACACACATATCTACTTTGCCCATGCTTACGATGTAAGTGAAGAGTAAAGTTTTCAGTCTTTACTGGACAAAAGTGTACAATTTGCAAAGTTTTGATACAACTTACATGTGTTTGGGAAGTGTTTTTTTGATAGCCAGAAGAAATTGATTGGTGAGGCTAATTGTCTCAACAGAATAACAGAGAATCCGGCAATAACGCCTATTTGTCAGATCTTACATCTCAAAATTAGTTGACAATGATGTTGAGAATGGCTGGCGTAGGATATACAGTGCATTGTAGCTATCCTGATCATGCGATTGTTAAGAAAGTCATACAGGTAAATGGGGTCATTCCTGAGTGGATGTGAGCCTCTCTTTGTCAAGAAGATTCTGAAGTGTAATTTATTATGATGATAAAATATATCTGTGTATGCCATGCCAGTTTGTTTATATGAATGATCTAGTATGCTCTCAAATATCAGTAAGTTGCTGGTGGTAGATTATCCTACTGGTGAATACCCTTTTTAAATTAAGCAATGGTTTTTAAATTGAATCTCCCATGTTTTCACCAGTGGTAAAGTTTTAAGAGGGGATGAATAACTTGACTAAGGATCTCTGAGACAGACAGGTAAACAAAGGAGTAAGAGGACCCTTAATATATTATCAGTCCTGATGTTTGTTTGGTTTATTTGTAGAACCAGAATGGTTGGGCTGAAGTTCTTAATCGCTTTATCAAGGGTGGTGGAAGGATACTTGATGTGGAGTATATGACAGATGAATATGGTAAGTGAGTAAAGTTTGGTTTGGAAAGATCAAATGTTTTCTATAAATTTGATATAGTATATCTTATTGTGTTGTCCATAGTTAAGGAACTCTTGTTATAAAAGTTTTTACCATGAAAGGTTTGTTTCACTTTTTTTTTCAGTCAACATTACTGAAAAAGAGCTTTTCCCTGCACTTTTGTTGACCAAGTAAAGATCTATAGAGGGTTTTTTTTTTATTTCAACAGACAGACGAGTAGCAGCAGCTTTTCCTCCTTTAGCTGGTTTTGCAGGAATGGCTGTTGGTATTAGTGCTTGGTGTCATCAACAAATGAGGTACAAATTTTTTAGTGAGATTTTATAAGCTATGATACTTACTTGGCTGTTTTATTGCTTAATATGGCATTGAATAATCATTAGAAGAAGTTCATCAGAAATTATGAGACTAAAGTAACTGTTACTGGGGTATATATACAATGCAAGGCCCCTGTGCCATCCATTTCCCCTTAATTTGATCAGAGTTTATCTCTCTTGGTGTTCATGTCAAATGCTGCTTTTGCATCAAAGCATAACCTTTACTGGGCAAACCCCCTATCCCGCAGACCCCCGTTGTTTGAAAGGTGGATAACGCTCTCCTTTTAGATAAATCTCTATTGGGTGGATAGTGCAGTACGTTTCATTAACAATTATCCATGGGGTAGCGATGTATCGGTTGGATAGTGTCATCCAACCTTTGAACAAATGGGCCCAGGAGTATGAAAGGAAAAGTGACTCAAGGAATTTGCAGGGTCAAAAAATCTCTTAAGGGTAGATATTTTCTGTGCAAAGACTCCAGTTTAACTTCAGGGAAAGGTGACTCAGGGAATTTGCAGGGTGAAAAAATCTGTAAGGATAGATGTGACTGTGGCAATTGTAGATTGTTACAATTACTGCAAAACCACACTTGACAAAAAAACACTGCCCGAAGATGAAATGAAGATAAAAGAACTGCTTGAAAGCGAACTGTGACTAGGACGACTACTGAAAGGAAAAGGGTTCTGAACAGAGAAAACTAAGTTTATATATGCACAAAAACTAAAAATAATGCATGCAAAAACGACTTACTGAAAGTTCAATTGACGCAGATAATTGCGAAAGAAACAGTAATGAATGGAAGTATGTGATATGGAAAACAACAGAAGCTAACTAGCCTGCGTGCAGCCGAACGCAGAATAAAACCGGGGTTTTCGTTTGGCTGCACGCAGGCAAAAGCTAACTAACCGGTGAAAAACACTAATAGACGATGAGAAACAAAAGAGACATCCTAATTAATTTGACTACATTTGTAAGCTAAGATCCTACAATAGATACTTCCTGTGCAAAGACTCCAGTATAATGATCACCACTGTAATCTTAATGCAAGCAGTTTCTGGGGTTGATCAGTAGCCAAGTGTACCATACCCCTTATACAGGGTTTCCTTGAGAAAGTGGAACACAGGGAGACCAGAACCAGGATATATATAAGAAGGTCTATACCTACCTCTCTTTACATGGACACAAAGCTTTTTTCTTTAAGTTCTATTTCCTTTCAACCATCTCTCCTATGGATCTCTTTTTACTTCAAAAACTCCAGTCTCCTTCCAGTTTGTTGTAAGTCAATTTTTTCTTTTCATAAGAAGCAAAAGGATTGGTGGAATGCCCATCATCTGAGGACTTTTAAGTGCAGCAGTGCCCATTCAATTCCAGACCTACTAATGGTTTGAAATGCTTTTCATGACAAGCCAATTTGAACTGAGGCAGTAAATTCCTTTCACTCAAAGTGTTTGTATGTAACAAATGGTAAACACCACAGCATACACTATTGAGTTATGGATGCACGCCGGAGGTTGCTAAGCACAAAAGAAGCGTAAGAGTCGCTTGAGGCAATAGCCGAGGGCGACTCTAGCTTCTTGAGTGCTTAGCAAACCTCCCAAGTGCATCCATAACTCAATAGTGTAAGCTGTGGGGTTTACCATCTGTTTTATAACCTAACATTGATACATTGTAGCTAAAGAGTTCCCTTTTATTTAACAAATCTTACATGACCAGAAAAAACAAGCGCACGTGGAAAAATAGTCTTTGCATTTGCTCACGTCAGCAGTGTACACCCATGGGCAAATGGAGGACGCTAAATTGACCAATCAGAGCGTGCGCTTTACTTTGGTTATGTTATAATGATGGTCGTGTTTATGATATTTTAAGCCCTCAGACTCCCATGCCAGCTATAAAGCCTTATGGCCAGGGGTCACTTTTAATAGAAGATCTGAAGACACAGCTCCAGGATGCTGCCAAGGCTAGAGGTACAGAGACATTTCAATATGAGCTTGTAAAAAAAAAAAGTTATGAGCTTTGAAATAAAACTGAATTAGATGTTTTTTTCTAGGACTTTCTGAGTGCTATCCTTGTGTGATAATCATTGGTGCATTAGGGCGCTGTGGCAAAGGAGCCATAGATTTGGCACAGAAAGTAGGCCTACCAAGGTATGTAACAACCTATCTCTGATCGTTCTATGTCAAATATATCTCAATTAGCTTTCAATATTTATCCTTGAAATAATGTTTCCTTTACAGCTCATGTATTGCCAAATGGGACACGAAAGAGACACAGCAAGGTGGACCTTTTGAGGAAATCCTACAGTATGACATCTTTGTCAACTGTATCAACTTAATGAAGGTGTGTAGTCATCAATAAGAAAATAAATAGTGTAAGGAAGTTTAAGTCTTCAGGTAAGTGTAAATGATACCATATGATCTTTTATTAAAGTTTTCTATGTTGTAAATTGTTTGTACCAGTTTAACCCACATTCAACATGGCACAACAGCTCATTTTAAGGGATGTTGGTGTGATCAATGTGTATACTAAGATTTCACTTCTGTTTGGTAGTTGATTTATTTTAAATGTTTTGTAAGAAATCAAGTATTGTAAAAATGAGAGTGAGAGTAGCCTAGGGTAGAAGGTTCATACTTGCTCAGGAAAAGAATGTAGGAAATGTTGTGCTACATCTTTGGTCTCATGCTCCCTTAAGAGCAATGGCTTGGTATCATTGGGGGGAAAAGGGAAGGGCTGAGGAAATTTCATGAGATTAAAAGATTTTTTGTGTATGCAAAGATTAAAAAACAAAAACAACAGTAAATATGAAACAAAACAAATAAACCAACCAACACTAAAAGCTTTCATTGGTTATTTGTTGTGAAATTACATGGCATGATTCAATTATCAAATGTCCTAGGGATTTGCATAGTTTGTCCAATTAACTCTCTTAGACAAACTGGAAAAGTGAAGTATGACTCCTTTTACAATCAAGTAATTCAGGGTGTCACACTGACTATTAACTATTCATTATTGATTAATTATTAATTATTTTTAACTAATTATTTAACTTAATTAATTAATTTAACTTAATTTATTTAATTATTAATTAATTATTAATTATTATTAACTATTTAACTCTCTTAGACAAACTAGAAAAGTGAAGTATGACTCCTTTTACAATCAAGTAATTCAGGGTGTCACCCTGACTATTAACTATTAATTAATTATTATTAACTATTAATTTAACTAAATTTATTAATTTAACTTAATTTTATTTAATTTATTTAATTATTAATTAATTATTAATTATTATTAACTATTTATTTAACTCTCTTAGACAAACTGGAAAAGTGAAGTATGACTCCTTTTACAATTAAGTAATTCAGGGTGTCACCCTGACTATTAACAAGGAAAATGTTGTACAATTTTCTTGCACCATTCTCAAACACAAGTCTATTTTTCAAATAGTAGATGTGGCATGGGAGGACAGCTTTCCACAGGAATTTTTTTTCTCATTCATCAAATGTGAAGTAAATCATTGTTCACGTTTAGTACGCAGCTTTAAACTTTAAAATAATATATTTGATGCACACTCAAGTATGCAATGAAAAGTTTAACAAGATCAGTGGACTAATTGACTGGATTGCAGCAGCTGTACTTGGGAAGTTGTGTTAGGTTGTGCAGCTCTGAAAAATAAGTACCTTTGGGGAATGAATGTACACATGCTCGAGAGTGTTCTGTGCTTGACAGCATTTACTTTTCAGAAAATTCCACCATTTATGACAAGGAAGGTGCTGGACACCGACCAGAGGTGAATTGTATCAGCGCAGCGCTCTCAGAAGAGTGTTTTTACCTCGTTGCTTTTCCATACAGAAAAAATTTTTTTTTCCTTATGGGTACAAATTGTTGAGAATTTAGAGGGACTGCTTTTTCAAAACAATTTAGTAGCTTGCTAGGTGGCTAGAGTATTTCTCAATCTTGTTATTTTGCTAGACATGAGTGATTTCCATTTCATTAAGTGTAACCTCAATTGAATATATTCTGCTTCCAAAATTCATCATGCATGGCAGTTTTTATCTGGCTCACATCAAATGCTCTCTAAGTTACTTTGTTCAGTTGATGATATAAACTGTTCTGACAATTCCTCTTCTTGATGGAAGATATGACAAAAAAACATACAGTCATTCATTTTCCTTATTCAGACTGAGTTTGAAATGTCAAACTAGTTGAAATAGAGGTGTGTTAATGAAACTGTAAAAAGAAAGAGTTTGGAAAGGGCACTTATGAACAGAAACTAAAATGCAATTGAAAAGTCAAGTAAACAGTTTTTAGTAATTTGGCTGAGGCCATGAAGTTCTAGTGTTGACGTTTGTCGTTCCTTGTTTTAGGAAACTGTCTGTGATAGTTGATGTGAGCTGTGATGTTACAAATCCAAACAATCCTTTACCATTCTGTGAATCGGTGACCTCGCTTCAACAACCCTGCAAGACTCTACAGTTAAGGTCAGGGGTTGTGTCCATGTTTGTGTTCTAGCTTGTATACCTTGTGACTTCTGAGTAGAATTTTTCTTTCTAAGGAATGGTTTTCAAGCACATTGGCTACAATTGCAAAGTCTTGTAATCTTTAATTACAATTGGATGAAACTACTGTCTTCCTAATACATGGCATCAATGTTGTATAGGGTTTGCCTGATACAGGTTTCATCATGGCCTAAGTTGCCTCATGCTATAAGAATTGTGTGGCTGCACCCTTCCTAAGATTTCACCTTCTCTAGTCAAGAGGTAGTTACTTAAAGGAGATAGAAAATGATGGATTGATCTGATCCCATTTTTATTAGTTAACCCATAATCTACTTGGCTGAGCTCCCATGAATTAATTTTAAAAATTACAAAGTAAGCACACCAAGGTTGACATGCATGGGTCCTTGTCACAGACTAAGGCTAAATTAGCCCATTGAATCCAACTCTATGTTTCCTTTTGCAGTAACTCTACAACACCTTTGGATATTGTGGCCATAGACAACCTTCCTTCATTGCTTCCACGAGAAAGCAGTATTCAGTTTGCTAATAGTATCATGCCCTATTTACTCAAGCTTCCAGAGGTATTTCCACTTTACTTCTCTTTCAGCCGTCTACCAGTACTTAATTGTTGTGTTATTTGTACCTCTCTGCCTCGAAACAACTGGATGAATATGTTAGAAGTAGAATGCTATAATGTTGGTTTCAATTTGTCTTCGTGGACCATATTGTATCATCTTTGAGAAAAAAGCCATACAATTAATATGAACCCTTGCCTGCTCAGAAAGCCAATCAGAACACAGGATTTGCTTCATATTGCTCACACACCCTGGCAGCTATTGATAATCAATGGTTATAATCCTAGCCATACCAATCATATTAGCTTGCATGCAGTGGATCCAAATGTGTCACATGACTTGATAGGGTAGAACTAAAACTGAGGATTACTTCGACCAGCATTTTAATGTTGTAAATCTTGATTTGTTAGTATTTATTTTATTGCACCTTGATACTTATGTCATTATACACGCTTGTTTTTCTAGGTGGACACTCACCCAGTGTGGGTTCGTGCTGGGAAAAAGTTTGAGGAAAAAGCTGCAGAAGTCCTTTATCACAATGTCAAGTGTTAACTTTTCCTCAAGTATTCGATTATTGGTAGTTTTGGACTAGTGGCTAAGAAATCGATAATATGGTTGCTACCAGTCTGAAAGGTTACTTATGAGATAGATTTTACAGCATTTGTATTTTCAAAAATTCAGTTTTTTGTTGTTGCCTTTAATTTTTGTGAGACTTTAAACCCTATGAGAGACCGGCAACTAATTTCTGCTTACATTATCACCCCTGAATGAGATATAAAGGTAACTGAACAGAGGAAATGATCACTTACTAAAGAAGCTCTTGATTGTTAAATAATTCTCCTTGAGAGCATCTTAGGAAATGTATAGAGAACAGCACAGAGAATATGAATACTGATTGTAAAGGCTTAGAGAGTTAAGCATAGGTATCTTTAAGTAGTAGGATGGGCAAAGAAATTAGTAATACAGGGAAAACTGAATGCTGCATTCTCAGTTAGATGGAAGGGCTACACTTCACAAAAAGGGATCAGTTACACATTTAACAAAAACAGATTCTTGGTATTTTCAAATATTTCTTTCTTGGAAAATGTGACCACTACCAGTAATTGCATTCGAGAAAAGTTTTAATATATTGTTGATCCTGAAATGAATTAAGTTGTACAGTGCATGCGTGGGAAACAGGATAATTAGTATTGTAATGATTCAAAATTATCTGGCGGGAAATCGAGTATCACAATCTGTCCACTCCAATAAATCAGTTTGTTTATCTTTGTTAGGAAGAACTTTCTAGCCAATCAACTTGCGTTTTGATAAAAGTGTGTTCTTGAGATAAGAAAATCATTGTGAGTAGTTTTTCCGTCAGTCAGAGACTTCCCATAACGTTGTTCTGCCTGCTTTTTTGAGAAATAAATTCTGGAAGCTAGTGACAGTGTGGGCTCCTCACTAATTCCCCACACATGTTTGATTCCAATATCTACATAATTGATTATAAAATCCACTTAAAGATTTGACAAGAGATTTTAATTTTTTTTTCTTGAAAGGAATCATGAAAAGCATTTGGGAATGATCCAAAGATAATTAACTTGAACTTCGGTTTTATTGTAGTGAGTGTTACTTTATCACCATTAAGGAAGTATGTGGTTTCAAACTTGTCTAATTAAATTAAATAATACCTGTGTGCTTCATTTTCCAATTATGCACTTTGATGAGGTGAATACAGGTATTAATAAAACATTTAAAAATAAGCTAAAATGCTTCAAAACGATTGCATGTGTCAGCTGTGGGTTTATCAATTTATGAAGCATTTGAGAAGTGTGGAGAGTACTGAAGAAGATAAGGTTTCAGAGCAACTCCTGATAAAGAGGTTCACTTTCACACTTTATTAGGTAATTGTAAACTCTGCTGATGAAAAGAAACTTTCCTCAATTTCATGCTTTTTACCATTTTCCTCCAGTGTACTCTTTTAGAGACTAATTTTTTCCTTTCTTTAACCTTCAAACTCGTTTCAGAGGTACATTCCATGTGTGTGCCATTTTGCTGAGCAAAAGAACAACTTTCCCCATTTTCACAATCCCTTCCACCACTGTCTTCACTCTCCAGTCAGCATAATATTATCATTCCTCTCACAACTGTCTTTGCGTACCAGCTACGGTGTAGCATATGCAGACATTATGCAGATGTGACACTTGCATTAAAAAAAAATTCTGTTAGTAGTAATGCACAAATTAATACAAAGCAACAAGAATTCACAAAGCTGATTTATTACCAAACCAAGTTTTGTTTGTAACAAAACTGGAGGTAGCCTTAAAACAACTTTGGTTTTCAGACACAAAAAGCAAATCAATATTATCTTCTGTAGTAGGGAGAATTCTCACTGTTGGTTGCAAAGCTGTAAACTGGAGATCCATCTACTAGCAAGCATTGATGAAGAGATATCAACAGTGCTTAACATTTTGCACCAGCACAAAACAAGTGCGGGCAAGTTTTAAAACCAGTGTCTAATTTTTAGTAGGAAACTTAAAATGAACAGTTTTGGGCACAGGAGGCATTTGCCTTCTTGTTTGACTATGCCATCCCTTGTTTCTGCTGCGAACTCTATACCACAAATTTCTTGCCTCCATAATTGAAAGAAAACATCATGAATGTTTCTTTTTGGGCATTCTGAGTGGTAACATCCTCTGCTCTGCTATCTTACAAGAAGTGATCTTGCAGCCATTTGTAACATCTTAAGGGACCGCTGAATGGGTCCTGAAGCTTCATCGATGGCTGCTTGAAGTTGCTGGCATAGTCCCTCTATCACACCAGGCATATGTTCTCTTGTAACAGCATCACGTGTATCAAGGGCCATAAGAGCTACTTCTATGTACCTGAAATTTACATAAAGAAATAGGGTCAAAGGAAAACAAAAATTTGGAAAACAGTGATAAATTTTCACAGCACAAAGAACACTATAAATGCTTGCAAGTGGCCCTAGTAACAATCAATTCATCCTGTTTTCCTGGTTGCAGAAATGCCCCAGAGTGGCCTCATCCCATTTCACCTCTTAAACATTAACTTATGCCCATCAGTTAGCACTTACTACACAACAAATAAGCTGTGTTTACTCCAGAAGGACACAAGACAGCACAAACTGACATATGAGTTGAAATGTTGACACTAATAAACCTTCCCTGGGAAAACCCCAAAGAAAATAAGAAATAGCAAAAGCAACAACAGAATGGAAGAGAACATCCCCGCTGTTTGACTCTCCTAATAGTTAGAGAACATGCCTAGAAGTTACCTGACTAAGTGCATTTGAAGTACAAAAAGGATAATTAGTAATGCTTGCATTTCATTCAGTTAATTGGATACATTGTACCATGTTACATTATGCCACTTTGGCATTCAGCCTGACTAGTACTCACTTGTAAAGAATAAGAAAGAAGGTAAGTTTTAAGCTCAGTAAAGAAATGTAGAAAGATGTTTTTTGTCTAGTCACGAGTGTGGGAGAAACAAAAAAGTCTGAGTCCCCATGATGACTCAAAATTTTTTCTTTGTCCCATGCTCGTGACTAGACAAAAAATATCTTTCTATTAGTACTTACTTGTGTTTGAGATCTGTGTACATAGTAAGATCCACAGACAATTGTTGTATTAGAGACAGCAAGACTGGTTGTGACAAAGGACATGGGGACTGTGAAGAGAGTTTCTCTGGATCCACATTTTCACAGACGTACATCACAATGTTTAGATCTCCCACTGTCAAGGCCTGAGATGTGAAGTTGCGATGTACATTTAAGTAACCACGAAAAACCCAAATTCAAAAGAGTTTCTTCAAATGGCATTTTAAAGCCATCAGGTGGGTTGGGTGGGTTAGGGGGTGGGTTTGGGGGGAGGAATTGGGGAGTAGGAAGGGGAGGGGGCTTGCAAATTTCAAAGGTTGAAATCTTAACTGGTAAATTCTCTAATACACTTTTCAAATACAAGCACATTTTGTACTGAAAAGTTACTGAGCCCAGGGGAAGAACAATATCATCAAGGTCAAGACCTAGACACCAAGGTCCAGTTGTTCGAAGGACGATTAGCACTAACCCAAGGTTAAATTCTAATCCATGTTTCCTTATTTCTCTATTCAAGAACCTTTTTGGGATAATTTTCCCTATTGTTTTTGAGAGCATCCGATAATCAGATTGTAGATGAAAATAGTTAAACCGAACTTTCTTTTAAAACTTTCAGATCTGAAATGAAATTTCACACTAACCCTGGGTTATCTTAACCCACCTTTGAACAACCCGACCCAGTATTTTTCCATTGGACCCAGCCAAACTCAGTTAATAAGCATTTAATCATGTGCTTCTCCTTGCTAATTGACGTTCCCCCTTGTGTCTTGCATCTCCAGGGACCAGGCAAAGGGCAATACAGCTTCTCAAGGCCCTGCTAAAACCACTGCTTACAGTCACCATATACTGAGCTGTAAGGGTCATGATAATTTTGGAGTATAACAATTTGCATTTAATCAAAGTGTTCTGTACCTCGTAAGCATTTTTGTGTACACAAAGAGGAGAGGGGTTTGTTTGGAAATTGTGGTTTTACAGAAGGTAAGCTTATCAGATCATTCAAATATGGTAATAATGAAATGGCTTTATCTTGAATCTTACGGTACCTCTTGGAATGCCTGTCCAACTTGTCCAGATTCCAACAGCTTGGAAACTACCACCTACAGATAAAGACTCAAGTCATTTAACACAGTTCTGTTCATACTTTTTAATCATGAATTATAAATATCAAACTGTTGGAGGAAGAGCTCTAAATTGCCAATATGAGAGGCACATGAAAACAAGAGTGATTTCTGAACATTTTATTTGACACTTCATTACAAATTACCATAACCAAAGAAAAATCCAGATGATATTATGGATATCCTAGTGCAAACTGATTTTATCTTCCCAAACTTTGCCCATAATTCAATGAAAAATAGAGACATATGAATGTAAGTGTTGAAATGAACACATAAATAAATAAATGCAATTTAGCATTTAAAGAAGCACCGATGGAAAGAAACTCATTTAGACTCAGGGGTACAAAGTTACTGCTTTACATTTTGGAGAACAATAGGAGAAGAGGTCAGCATACATGTTACCCCTAAGACCCAATCAAATTCATATTTGCCACCAACCCGAGTATGTGCAGTAGTAGGAGACTGTTGTGAAGTGTTTACTACTGAAGCTGTAATCATGTCTTTCAATTGTTGACGTAGGCCTTCAAGTCCTAATCCCATTTCTTTTTGTACTGAGTCCTGGACTGAAGCTAGGACCTCAGACAAGAGCCGTGAAAAAATCTCTTCCCGTAGACTACAAAGAATCCAAAACAAGGACAGTTATATTACATTCACTGGATAAGCTGTGGTTAAATTCTATCCTTCTTGGTTTCAAAATCATAATCAAACTAAAAAACAGAGTGGAGTTTTATATAAATGAAAAATGTCTTCTTACTGAAACTGGAGCTAAACATTTTTTTTGTACCAAAAATTGACATAATTTTCATCAAAACCATAATCACATAAACATCACCAGTGAACAAACAGCTTGAGTTTTACCAATTTTTCACCCAGCCTTTGATCAGCTGAATTTAAAAATGTTTAAAGTTACTGTTTCAGTTGTGCTTCTTATTTTCTTTCATCCTGTTCTGCCCCTAATTTCAGTAGATATACCAGTCTGTTAAACACGACAGATGTTTTACTCAAGGTCTACAGTTCAGCAGGAAAGAAAATGGTGTTGGTCCTCAGACACTGCAGTTAACCTCTTGAGACCAAAAAGCTACTTGCTTTTGTGCAGTTAAGTGATCATCCAGCAAAATGTTTCAAATACAGGTCTATGTTTTTTACTTTTGGTACTCTTCACTTACCCTTCTATTGATGATGACAGTTGTTTCTGTATCATAACTTCAAAGTCAGCCATAAGGTTTGATGAAAGCCTCTCTGTTATTGCTTGGAATGATTGTTTTTGTGATTCCAACTGTCTCATAACAGGTTCAAAAGAATGTTTCTCCTCTCTTTTACGGTTATCCAGTGCCGTTGTAACCTGTTGCAGGTCTTTAAAATAGAGTTTAACAATAATGAAACCAATAAATCATAGAGTGCATGAATTTGGTGTTTAGCAACTGTGCTGTTAAACAAAAATATGTAGTATACCTGTCCTTGGGTATTTGAGCTCTAAACTATAAAGAAGACTCCAAAATTGTGGTCAAAGTGAACAATGCGGTCTATTAGATAACAGTTCCAGAAGCCTACTACTGGTGGGGACAGTTAAATGAATGAAAAAAATTATTAATTCTCTCACAAAGTTCTTTGGGAGATTCAGCACAAAATGGTTGAAAATGCCACATTTTCAAACCATACAGCCAACAGTATCCCCTTCCCCTCTGCAATTTGAGAATAATCCTGGAAACAGTCAGAAAATCTGCAATTGTTTTCAACATAGTTTGAGCAAGGGAAAGGAGGATGGAATGCTTTAATAAATATAATTTTCAAAATAGAAAAAGTACACATTTCAAGTGCACATGAATCTACTAGCTAGGCTACTAGCTATGTTTTCTGTCATGACTAAAAAATGGCCTAGCATTATGACTTTGTGAATGGAATAAAGAAAAACCCGAGTCTGTTGTTTTGTAATGTCTTAAATGGCTAGTACATTTATACCAAAACAACGAGATTAGCAACTCTTGACTTCTATATATGACATTTAGTGAGGGCTTTTCCTTCATCAACTATTACACAATAGAAATCAAGTATTTGGGAAAAAATAATGTAGCTGTCTCATGACCAGGATTGTTAGTACATTGCAGCAAAGAACATACATTGTTGAGTTCCTTTATGAAATGAGTCGTTTATTTGTTGGAACATGTTCTGGCATGCCCTCTCAAAGGATGGCAAAATGGAGCTCTGGAATGCCTCACGGTAAGTCACTTGAATGGGTCCCTGAAGTGCACTAGCTGCTGCCGTACCAATAGCATCAACCACACCCTGTTTGAGGAAAAAAGACCCTGTTATTATAATTGTAAAATTTTGCTTTGTAAGGCATCTGTAGAGCTTGCTTTTTCAGAATTCTGATATCATTTGCAAAGATTCCATACTCTTTACTAGTTTGCTTCTTTTAAACACAGGGTGAAAAAGTGTTCACATTCTAACAATGGGACCTTTACAGAATCAAGTTCATGCCTGCCTTTGAGAACTATTTCTAGCTAGAATCAAATTAAACATTTTAGTTACATGTATTTCACCACCTCCCCTTACCTGACACCAACAAGTCCTGTGTCAAAAACAAATAAACCAAACCTTACCTTACTTTTCACAATTTTTCCAATACTGTCCTTCAATACAGTATCTGCTGCAGTTAGTTTCTAAGGAAAGGGAAAGAGAACTTGTCTGAAGAATCTGTACCACAAATCTTCTTCAACTGAGATGTGCCAGACAATGAAAATTTACATAAATTATGTAAAGAGAAAGTATAGTGTGGAATCATGGAAAAAGGTTGGATTTCAAACACATTATGAAATCCTGCATCAAATGACACCCTAATTCAATAACAATTGAAATATGGGTATTTCCTACATACCTGTGCTAATGCAGTGTTGAGTTGTTCCTGCATAGCACTCAATACCTTTTGAACTGCTGGTACTACAGCACTCTTAATTTCAGCCTTGACAGATTTATCTAATTTTCCTGACAAGGTAGTGGTGATTGTTTGGGACAAAGTACTCTGTAGCTGTTCATGTCTTTTTTTGTCTCCTGAATGTTTATCACGCAGAGCTTTGTCTAAACGCTGAGCTGAACAGCTTGTTAAAGAAACTTTAAACTTGGTAATAATTTCAGCCACAATGCATTTTTCAAAAGGGTTCCTCAGTTTTGCACCTGCGTAATGTTTCAAGAATAAAGAAAACCTCTAAATGTTTTTAAACTTGCCATGTAACCTTCCACAACCTCAGACCAAAAAGGCAACTTTGTAAAACAGACATTTTACAGCTAAAAATTTGGGTTTGTAAACAAAGAACACTGCTGGTTGAAATATTCCTATTGCCCATGATTTGTCTGCTTGACAGCATATTGACTCTGACAAACCACTGAAGGCTTCCATCATTAATTCCCTGAAGATTTAGCATAGAGCAACAATCTAGCTGAATTTCTACAAAACTACAATTCTAGTAAAAAAAAGAGCATGTTTCAGAATAGTTTCAAACAGGATACATTCTTCCCGAAAAAAATCATCCAGTGTAGTTTGTAATTTAGAAGAGACCCGCTCCTCAACCTGATGTACTTCATTGACCACTGTAATCATCTCCTGCTGCTGATCAGACTGGTATGTTTTCAGCTGCTTACGAAGGTCACAGATATCTTGCTGTTGAGCTTTGACCAAACTCAGAAGCTCTTCCAGTGATGACAAAACACCACCATCCTAAATATTTTGGAATGAACTTTATTTTAGAATTACTCAACTTATCGGTAGTAATAGAATAAAAATGATGGTAAATTTTGAGCTTGGTAAAGAAATAGAGAATGATGTTTTTTGTCTTGTCATAAGCATGGAACAAAGAGAAATCATAAGTCCCTATGATAAATAAAATAATAAATATATAAATAATTTAGTAATGGACATTCCACTGGGTGGCTCTTCTTGCTTCTTGTTTCCAGATTGAATTGGAATTTGGAATGTTGGTTTTTGTGGAGGGAGGAAAACCGGAGGACCTGGAGAAAAACCCTCAGAGCAAGGATGAGAACCACCAACAAACTCAACCCACATGTGATGCCAGGTCCAGGCTCTTTGAACCCGGGCCACAGCAGTGGGAGGCAAGTGCTCTCATCACTGCACCATCCCTGCTCCCTGAAGAAGAATCAAGGAATTGAATCTCAGACCTTCAGATTTTGCCCTCCAATGTTCTAACAATGAGAAGGTATTTGCTGACTTTCTCTCCACAGGACAAACAAAGGAGACAAACTTAGGAGCAATACTTTTATTGAGCACCTCTCCCCAGTTCCTAAATAGGCACTACACATTTCAACACCAGTACAGCACATTGTTAAAAATAAATTAAATTCCCTAGCTTTTTTGGTTGCTTTCAGCATTGTTATCATTATCAATGAAACTGAATTTCAGGTTTCAAAAAATGCACAAAAATGGAGCCTCAAAATAAATTGAAACAGTGCATCCCAAGATTCTAATGATAATGGTACTAAAGTTAGTAATTAAGAGTTCTAAGATCTCTTACCATTGTAACCTTGGCCTGCTGAGGAGGAAGATCTGTTGTACTTACAGGAGTAGAAACAAAACTAAAAATTGAAAGAAGAGATTTAGAATTTAGAAATGGCTTAGAAGCAAAAGAGAGCACGTATTATTCAGGGTAGTCCATTCAGAGAGGTCAAAAAGCATTCCTGTCATCAATAGGAGTCCTGAGCACTCTAAACTGCAATTCAAGAAATTGCAGAAGATAAAGACTTAAAAAAATCTTCCAATGTGTCTTTTCATATGTTTCTTATTGTAGTCTATCCAATATCTAGTCTGGCTAGTTTAGGGACGAGGTAACTGTCCAGAGAACTAGCCTCAAATTACACTTAGATTTAATTTACCTTGACAGTGCTGACGGTTGTTTTCTACCCTCATTGTAGCCTGTTGGTGTACCAACTGGCAGTGCATGTGCTGACTCAGGACTCTCCCGTCCAGTTGGTACCACTCCATCATCACCATTCATATCCCACTGGTCCAAAAGTCCTTCCTCTGTGAATGCATCCTCCCCATCTACCTGCACATCATCTCCTATACCCCTCTTATCATCATCCAAACAAATAAGATTTCCCTCTGCACGGGCAGACAAAGGTCTCAAACTTTCGCTTGTACTGGATCCAGAACTTGATTTTCTGTCTCTTTGATTTTCCTCCTCTAGCGTTTCTGCCTCGGGTTTCTGGGACTCTGGTAATTCTTCTTCACCTTCATCCCTAGCATCATCATCAACAGATACTTCAATGTTTCTTTCCTTACTGCCAGGACTGTGTGATCTGTTCTGTTCAGATGGACTCTTTGAATCATTCAAAACGTTCTCAGCTTTCTCTCCCAGTGTATATGGTGAAGCTTGAGTTTCAGTATTTGTAATAGCTACCAAAGGTTCAAAACTTGATATTGGACTTTGTGTGTTTTGAACTGATGCCATTTGTGGACTAGACTGGAAGTTTAAAATGGGTATTGCACTAGGGTTGGGTGTTAGTGTTACAGGTGACTGGGGCAGGTGCAAGGACGTCGGTGTTAGAATACCATTCTCATGAGAGAAAGATCCTTGAGGTGTTGCTGAGTTGCTTGATTTGACAGTAGAGTCAGACAGCCTTGATGACACAGATGAGCCCAGAAGCTCATCAACTGATGCTTGTGAGTTATTCAGCCCAGAGATCATTGTAATACTGCTACCACTGCTGCTATTTACAGCTTCAGGGTGGGGTGACCCCTGTGACACAGTGCTTTCAAAGGCCTGCGGTGTTATTAGTTTAGTTCTGACTGGAACAGGTCCATCTGTACTCTCCTCAGGCTCTTCAACATCTGTACTTGCTTCTGTTCCTGTTTCCACACCACTTAAGTCAGAGAGTGCATCATGGATAACTGTATAAAGAAGGCAGATCTGATAGTCATAATTATATTTTTTTTGATAGAAAATGCACCAGTGCAAATTGACTAATATGTACTTAATATTGACCGAGTGGGAGGACTGGACAGGAAAATATTTGGCTCAAGGTCATGACATACGGACCAAGCGCAGCAATGTCTCTGCCTCATGACCGAAAAATTTTAAAAAGAAACTAAGGAAATGAAACACTATCATACAATTGAACTGGATTAGATGAGGTTTGTACCTATGCTGTATACATAATCACTTCAGGGGACTCACCAGACTGCCCGGCTACTGTAGTAAGAGACGAAAGAGTTGATGGAGTAGGTTGAGGAACAGACGGCTCTGGTTGGAAGTGAACCAAGAGTTCTTGCATTGATCTTTAGAGAGAAAAAGATAATCATTTTAAAGAGACACTTCACCCCACACATTCCTTAGGTATACTCAACCTTAATTCATCATTGTTTCTTGGGTTAATGAAGAGGATATTACAATGCAGAAAGACTAAAGGCAGCCAGACCAACAATGTGGACCCTGAAAGGCCAAAACCACTGCATAAACCCAAGATTATCATTAGTGCAAGGAGATGAATACCCATAAAGGAAACAAAATAAGGTCAGCTGAAGGAGGACTGTGGTAAATAGGGTCATATGGGAGAAATAGAACTCAAAGCCTTTGACAAGATGGAGTGGAGAAGAACTGTGTATGACATGATCTCAACACAGCGGTGCAGGATTAAGAAAGAGTTTTTTTCAGTTCCCCATAAACTCTTTATAATTCCCCCTTTGATTGTCCCAACTCCCAAATACATATTAGGTATTAGAATCTCTGTTATGCAAAATCTGACTCTTCAACAAATACAGTTAAAAAGGGAAAGCAATGCCATCTTGAATCACCACAAATAACAAGGTTTGTTCTAACATTTTATAGCTTCCCAGAGAGAATGAATTCAGACTGTAAAGACAAAGCTTTACAAGTAAATCCCTGGAGACTCATAATGACAGCTGCACAAACGAAGGTCCTTGGGAGTCTCAAATCACTCCTGAAGGGATATTGATGAAAGTATTACCTTGTAACAGCTTGACCAAGAACAAACTTTACCTTGTTTGAATGCAAAAGAGCTGCAGTTGAACACCATACTTTTTCCCTTTCTCTTCTCCAGCAGTTATTTCTTTAAGTCCAACATGTGAGGAGTGAATATCATCATCATCATGATCATGGCTTTCACCATTGTCCTCACCATTCAGCTCCCCTTGTGACTTGAGTTTGAACAACTTCACTTGGCCAACAATAAAACTTAGAAGGGGATGTGTGAGATGAAAGTTGGCCACAGACGTGACGTGCGCTTGGCCTTCATCAAAATTTTGGTGGAACATCAGTACATAAATAACCTGTTGGTAAGAGAATAGACAACAATGAACATGTTCTGGAGGCCAGCAAACCTCATGGCTCAACAGAAGTACAAGAAGACCCCTTTAGGGCTGACATACCTTTTTGAGGACATCTGAAATTACCAAATAGGAGGCTGAAAGGTCCATGCCTACTTTCAAGTATGAGCGAATGGAGCTAAAAAAAGGTTTAAAATAGAAAAAATGTTCCTTTACAATGTATTTGTAAAATTAAGATAAGTTCCACAATTTTTGGTTCCCTTTCCTGCTGAGATTGTTTTCTCTTAACAAATGTAATATCAGTAATGATGTATTCATTACCCACTTTGATGTTGTCATGCTTTTCTAAATTGTTAATTAAAAGAAAAGGAGCATTACCACTTGATTCGTCCCACAAAATGTTTGCAAAAGCTGGTAAGATCAGTTCACTTAACTCCACAGGACAAAATCACTTACTGGGTAAACAGGCGCTTTTTGGTTAATACAAAATTCCTGATATTTCATTACTTAGTCGAAATGGTGTAAAGATTGACCAATGGAAGGCCATCTGACAGGCTGCCTGAGACAAACAGAAAGCCGAAGAGTGACTGAGAACATACATTTATCACTATCTGGCTATAAACAGACTTTTCAATAGAATATCAATAACAGTCAGGTTAAAATAAACAACAAATATTCATTATAATCCAGTAATATAATTATAATAATAATAATAATAATAATAATATATGAACTTCATATATAAATTGTACCAAATAATAATAATAAATTAAATACAGTATAATTATTACAATAAAAATCAATAACAGTCAGGTTAAAATAAACAACAAATATTCATTATAATCCAGTAATATAATAATAATAATAATAATAATAATAATAATAATATATGAACTTCATATATAAATTGTACCAAATAATAATAATAATAATAATAAATTAAATACAGTATAATTATTACAATAAAATGGCACACCTTGATCCTGGAATATCTGGAGAAGAAAATCTGCAAAACAGTGAATACAAATTACTTTGTTCACAATGCATTGAAGAATACTTTTATCTTTGATAAGAAATGAATAATTTACAGAGCAGTCTAAACTGGGATTACATGTACCTGATTGTTTGTAAACATGACCATGTTACTGTGCACCAGACTTTTATCTCTCTGTTATAATCAGCACCTGTGATTAAAAATCTCCACATTGGCAGCCTGCAAAAGCAATTGCATTGTGTCATTGTTTGTTTCTTGGAGGACTGATTAAATATTACATAAATCAAAATCAAGGTAATTAAAAGAAAGAGAAATGAGGAAATGGAGAAATCTGCTGTACTACATTTGGACAAGCCTGTAGGGCAAATCAAAGTATAAACAACAAGTAAAAATACTCAGCAATACTACACACTAAAACATCAAATAAGTTATTCATTGTTCAACTGCTTTGTTCCATGTGTATTTCTTATAAGGAAGGAAAAATGCAACAGATAAAGAAGGGTAGCATGCACAGCTGACAATTGATAGGTTTCTTACAGTACAAAATAGCGAACTGCCCAAATATTGCATGATATTTGTACTCAATTTGAGCATTATTTGTACTCTACTTGGTGCAGCTGGATAATAATTAAAACTATAATAATTTAACTAGACTGCTACAATTATGTCATTTTTATTTTTAAATCTATAACTGATTGTGTCTTTCTTACTCTTTATCTTGTGAGGTCTGATTATCAGTAAAAATCATACATGACACGGGATGTCCACCATGAGGCTGGAAGTCATGCATGCACTCAACATTGTCTGTCAACTGCCAGAACCTGATGTAACCATCTTCACTGGCAGTTGCTAATACTGCACCATCAGGTGAAAGAGCACCTTCTGTGATTGGCTGAAAATAATTATTTTGAAGTTTTCATTATGAAAGAAAAGAATTTAATACTGTAAAATATAGGTCTGAGGTACCATAGTAAAGACCATTAATAAAGTATAATTAATAACTAATTCATTGCTAAATGCACTCGTGCATCTCTTGCATGCATGAAAGGCAGCGAAGTTTAAAAATAAGAATTTTAGCACATAATTTGATTCTTTCAGAAGTTTCTTTCTATGAAATTTTAACTGGAATCAATACTTTGAACATACACAGATACAACTCCTGTCAATACACTTTGAGTTTTATGTTACATTCTAATAGAGGCAAACCCTATTAAAGAACACTCTCAAACAGTTTTCTATTACACAAAGGAATAATGAAACTTCTCAACATCAAGATGTAAAGTGTCTCATTTTTTTGGGATCCAAAGATGTATGCCATGGAGCTTGTTCAATTGCAGTGAAACACAACAGCTGATTTAATGTACTTTAACTTCAAGACTCGCTGTTCAAAACCTTGAGAAATAAGATTCTAAGAAAAATCTATTATGATTTAGTAATTCAAATGAAAGTGCTGTAGGAATGATTTCCAATGATTTTTCAACATGAAACCTTGCAAGAGATCTTGTCCCACCCATAACAATTTTAAAAGGTTTACCATTGCATGTCCATCTGTGATTTCTAAATATCCTGCTCCTTGTTTTATATCATCAATAGTCACTTCTGACCTGCCACACCATTCAGTCAAAGAATCAACATCTATTACCTCCACCTGATAAAAGCAGTTTGTCAAAAAGAGTTGTCACAAAGGATAAAGTTAGCATAAAACTGATGCTGTTGAACACAGTCATTTTGATTACCTAATAAACATGTAGTTTAAAACAACTTCAAAGTGGGTTGGTTTGTAAAGTTTCTTCTTTTTCAGATTAGATTTCTCTCAAGGTGCAAGAAAAGTAAAAAAGATGTCAATGAACCTGATTTCCATGTGTAATGGCCAGTGGGCGGCCTTCCTCAGCAGCAGACTCTTCAGTTCTTTCCAGCTCTTCAGCATCAGGCATGTACGGAGTCCATATCAGTCTGTGGTGCTCAGAAAGCGTACTGGAAGGACGTTTGATGTGAAGTTTCACAGAGTATCTTAACAATGGATTAAAGTAAACTTCAAGTACATGTACATTTGAACGATCAAAAAACTGTCATTACTGACATGACAATAAGCACTCTGCCAGATTTAACCAGAAATAGTTTTGATCCATCACCCTTGAGAATTATACCTTACTTTTATGCCTTAATTAGACTTTCTATACTTTGGATAACATTCTCATTAGCCTTTAATTTGCTTCCTAACATTAACATTCATATTCACTGAACTGTTTTGTTCACAACTCCTAAGTTAGGGACAAGGAAAATTTGTTTAACAATCAAAGAGTTTCTTCAAGTGGTGATCACTTCCTTTATTCTCATGACCTTAGTGTACAATTCAGGGAGTAAATTGTAAGGAGAAATAAGGTGCCAATCACTCTTAGGGGTAACAGGGTTGACAACAAAGAGATTTAACACCGCGTTTATGTGAAAAGGCAAACAACAGCTTGCCCTTTCACGTTTCACGTAAAATAATGTGAAACTTGCTTCTTTAGCTTCATGTGAGTTTACTTCATGGTGGATTTGAAGGCACCTGTGTATGACCAACAAGAAAAAGTTTTCGTGCCCTTTTTCTGGAAATTAACTTCTACTCTGTGAAAGAATAAGTGAAGAAAATTTTAAATACATAGCAAACACAAAACAAGTTACTTTGATGTAAAAGTGGCAAAGTGCATCCAAGAAATGTGAAAAAAAATGGCGGAAAAAACAAGGTCATGTGGTCATTCTTGCCATTCACTTTTCACATAAATGTGGTGCTAAATCTCTCTAATACTGTAGAGATACAACCTGGAGACCGAGTGTTTTAAATAAATAGATTTGGGACCCTCATCTATTAGAAAGAAGGTGCCCTACCAACATTTAAATGGCAACAATAGCAATGTTAACAAAGGATACTCAAGTTTCCCATCTTCTTCATGGATAACCCAGATATAAACATTACCTCCCTCATCTACACATGCCAGCATATTAGAGTCCTTGTGTGAAAATGCTAACTCACTAATTGTACCAACAAACCCCTTGATCAGTGTTCTAGAGGCTGTCTCAGGGTTAAGAAGCCTCACAACATAGCCATGACGGCCTGAAATACAATAATGTTGTTTGAATGAACAAAGAATACCTGAATAACATTATCATTCCCCTTTAAAGAGGGACTGTGACGAAAAACGTCAGTTTCTCCGATCACAAAGAAATTTTGTATTTGGGATCTCAAAACGTTAAGGAATAACTGTATCGATTTTTGAGTTTAAATTCCTACGATAAGTAGTACTTTTTGGACGATCTTTTTCGAGGCTTTTGAATCTGATTGAAATGTACTGAATCTGGCCGAGGAGGTATGGAGAGACTGGTAGTGACATCATCCAATCAACCAAGACATAAAGTTGTCAAAGCCATGAGTGTTATTTCCATGGTTTTATAAGAGTAAGAAACACGAAAAGTTTGAATCTTACGATTATAATTTTAAAGCTGGCATATCACAATGCCTTTGCCTCGATGTGTTGTGCAGGGATGCAGCAATAGATCAAAGCAATAGATCAAATCCACAAGATGGAATCTCTCTACACGACTCCCGCGTTAACAAAAACCTTGCCGCGAAGTGGAAGAACTTTGTCAGACTTCACAGAAAAAACTTCGATCCCAAAGGCCGGTTTGTTGTTTCTGAGCATTATTTAGCATCGTGTTTTTCAAGGACATGCCATCTAAAAGGGGCATTGAGAAGATTGTTACCAGGATCAGTACCAACTAACTGGAAAAGTTTGAGAGAAAGCCATGGTAATCATGAGAAAACCTCAAGTACTTCATCGAAGGATCACGCATGGTGAGTCGACTTTTCTAATCAATTTTTCTCAACTATTCCACACCTGTAGGAAATATCTAAAAAACACAAACTGTATAATTTTGCAAGCTTTCGTTCACTATTCGTTATTTGTTGGTTTATTGTAACTTGTAGTAAAGTATTCTGGAAATCTGTCTAAATAGTTCTTCGACAGTTTGTCGAACTGGAGGTGTTAGTCACATTCATTAGAATGCAAAGACATGACAGTCCAGCAAAATTCAAATTTCGTATTTATCAAATGTTCACAATATTTATAATATTAATTGATCTATATAGACTATGAAAGAGATTTTTCATTGGAAGACAGCAATGCCACTCTGCCCGGCAAATCCTGTAATAGAGATAAACCATGAACACGAAGTGCATCCACAGCAGAACACGGCATAAAACGTCACTGATGGTATCCAAGGTGAAGTTGATAAAAAGGTTATTGTGATCATAGTTAGTAGAGGGGACAGGTTAGGAAACCCGGAAAACTTCAAAGGGGTAACTTATTGTTATGGTTTTAGTGTGATCACGTGGTTATGACCGTGCACACGCTTTCAAGATGGCGGCTGTCTTTCGAGAAGCGTGACTTTATCAAGGACAAATTTTAAAGTATTTTATGCTTCAAACGTAGTTTAATCAAGAATTTC